TACTCTTCTTCTCTCTCTCTCTCTCTCTCTCTCTCTCTCTCTCTCTCTCTCTCTCTCTCTCTCTCTCTCCTCCCTTTGCCCCCTTCCGCTTCGCATCCGCTTCTGCGTTCGTTTTCCTTCGCTCCTTTTCTCCCTCTCTTCTTCGATCTCCTCTCCGCAGGTAGATCGATATCGACTTTTTGCGGAATCGTCGACGGAAATATAGCGGCTCTCCTTTCCGCCGCGAAATGTCTCGCGTGTGATGGGGCGAATTCGCGGGTTTCCGCGCGACAGCGAGGTCGCGATTGCCGCGAGGTTCGCAACTACGAACCTCGGTCGCGATTCCAGCCGGTCGGAGGTCGACGGTGCACGGCGTACGTGCTCCGCTCCTCCGCACGTGAAGGTATGCGTCGGAGAGATTGAGTGAATGAATATACGAAAGAATAGCGTTAATAACGAACGAACGATCCGTAATCGGAATTTAAATGCCACGAATTCCAATAATAACGCCCGTGTCGCTATTATCTCTTTGCTCTTGATATATCTAACGGAAATCATCGATATATTCGAGGATAAAGCATTCGACAATTTTTCTGCGCTCTTAGAATAATCTTGGGGACCAACGAAAATTTTTTTCTCTCTCTAGGTAATAACACACCGCTAATAACACGCCGCTGCATTTTTGTATTTGCAGAATTTCCGAGAGCATCGTATAGACGGCGCGGCGCTCCCACTACTCTCGGAAAATCATCTGACGGGCACGATGGGCATGAAGCTCGGTCCAGCCTTGAAGCTGCGCGTGATGTTGGCTCGGAAACTCGGTGCCTGCACGGTATGTCTGCACTGTGCCCACTGTCACCAAACGCCGTTACCGGCGTTGAACGCGGCGGCCGCGGCCGCGGCGGTGACGCAACAGCAGCAGCAGCAACAGCAGCAGCAGCAACAGCAGCAACCGCAACAACAACAGACACCGGGTCGCCGACCCAGCAGCACCGGGAACTGACAAACAATGGCGGAGACTCCCCTATTGGGGTCCGAGATAGCAATGGCCAGCGTGACCTCGGCATCGCCGTCTCCGGACCCGAACCGGGCCCTCAGGATAGAACGGCGCGTACCCCGTCCGGTACGCAAGCCGGAAGTCGTCTTCAAAAAGCCGATCAAGCAATGACACACGAACGATGTGTGCAATCGAAAGAAGACGATTTCGTATATCAGGAAGTACGGAGACTCCGCCTATTGTCAGTAATTAAATACCCGGAAGGACTTTTAGAGATAGAAACTCAGACTGTGAGTTTTAGAATTGAGACTAGACTAGAGAAATAAAAAGAGAAAAGAGGGGGGGGGAGACAGGAAGACTTTGGTTAATGCTATAGCGCAATGGAATATACAGAGCATTTGAATGTTGAGAATAAAGATGTTTTTGAACGTTTCGTCGTTTATCAGGATAAGTTAAAGCCTAAACCGTAGAGACCTGAAGGATTATAGTTTAATGAAACTGTAAAAGCTTTGTAATGATAAATTACTAGAACTTAAACGCAGCCTGGCGAAGATATGTTAATTAATTGTTCGATAATTCTGAAAGTAAAAGAGTTGAGACGAATTTAACTTTGGCTATTCCCTGAACGAGTAATATTAGATATACAGAGAAATATTTTTGAAAATTCTATATGTATAGGAACGATAGAACGAAACTGTTGACTAATTAATGAGAAAAGATGATTGAAGAGATTTATCTGAAATCACAACATAGTTTACATAAAAATAGATATCTATGTATCTACCGTACGACAATTGAAGTTAGCAAAATAATAATTATATTTCTGAATTCAAATATATTTGAAGATATATTTAATCAGGAAAGCTATACTCCGAAGAACTTATTGAATATAGTGAACTATATTTCAGTGGATATATACAGGATAATTTGACAAACAAATTTTTATTTGTATCTAGATTATAATAAATTCAAGAGAAGTCATAATTATGACTATAAAGTAAATATTTATTTTCTGATACTAATTTGATACTTAAATAACAAAAGCTGTAAAAATAACATTCACACATAAATAAAAATACAATGACATAATTTTATGTCGATATTTGTAAAAATAGATAATTTTAAAACCTATGTGATCTCTATCATATGGATTCAGTACTTAAATAGTATATTTTATACTATGAGCAATAAGAAATTTAAGAATGCTTGCATGCGCGCATGCGTAACGTGTCATGTTTGCATCGCGTAATATAGAATTATCTTTTCGATCTTGTCTTGCGATGACAAATATATAAAAATATATTTTCGTTTAAAAATTATCTGTTTAAATATTTTATCAAATTAAACTTTTACGAGCCAAGTTTGTAAATAAACGGATTTTATTTAATACATACTGTTTATTTTTTCTATTAACATATTTGAAAAGTTTTGGAAAATTTAAAATAAATTAATAAGCAGGACATTTAATTTTGTTATCGAAAAATGCATCAAGATACTCTCAAGATTTTATTTAATTTCATTAAATTGAAATTTATGCATTTGATGTTTTCCTTCGAAGTATGAGAAGCGAAACAAAATTTTATTTAATAATTAATCAAACGAGTGCCTATCATTCTAAAGTCTTCCAAGGCATCGAGATGTTCGGATTAATTTCCGATGTGCGATGGGACATTACATATTACTGTCGATTACTTGAGATCATCTTGGTCGTCGATCAATAACTTCCTCGACTGGCCGAAGTCGTATCTCTGTGTGACGTATCGAAAAATCGACAAAACGAAAAAAATCACTAACGTGATGTCGAAAAGAGAAAGAGGGAGATAAAAGAGGAGAAATGAGTGAAAAATATGCGTATATGTACATAATGTCGGAAACGAATGCAATTGCGAATGACGTGCGAGTGTGTGTGATGCGAATGTAAGTATATAGATATATTAAAAGAATACGATTTATATATACATAATCAGCGAGAAGAATTATGTGCAATAACAATAAATATACGTTTCGACGCGATAACTTTTAACTACCGTAGGAGATACGTATTTGCTCAAATCGTTGTTTCTTTTATATATTTTAACGAAGTTTTTTATATGAATGAGAATTATTACGATTAAATATACTAAATTATATTTTTGCTAATGTTCTATGTGCAAGAATAAAATCTACGTGCGAGCACACACATACACGAAAGTACACACACACACACAGCCACAGAATACAACGACACGCGCGATACACGGACAACGACAGTTTTGCGCGCGACGGACCCGTGTAGCTCTTAAGGAATTGTACATTAGCGCCCGTTCTACTTTAATCCCCTTTAATCTCCGGAGGTTCACGCAACGTCAAACGTTTATTTATTTAGAGATGTAGTGCCCGTTTTGCCTTATTGTATTCACGTAACGATTAAGACGTAAATGGTAGTAGGGCGAACTGCTAAATTGCGCTTACGCTTACATACCAATCACGCGGGAGTGAGTGTACGTGGAGAACAAAGTGGAAAATCGGATTCATAAGACGAGCAGTATTTTTAGATTTACACACATACACACGTACACGTTACATTAGTCTGAATTTATTATGTCAGACCATATAAATTTATGACACATTTATGTACACATATACACATAACACGTGTACATGGCTAAACAGCATGTTTTTATACGTGCGTCCGCGCTCCCGAGTTTGTAAATATTTCGTCGAGAACAAAGAGAAAATGGGACAAAAAGTCTTAGAAATGGTTCGAAATTTATCCAATCTGTATTCCATTTCGTCCAGTGAACGCGCGAGCAGAAATGGCGGTGAAAGAAGGAAATTCCTTCTTTCCTTATTTCCTGTTGCCGATCACATAAAAATCCGTTACTAACCGCAATACAGAATTACCAATGGTAATTAGACACTGTAATCATATGCGATATTACACTTGCTTCTACCGTCTTACGCAGAGGTTTTGTGTTTACATGCCTATTATTTGTAATTAGAAATACGACATTCGACATACATATGTACATATGATTACGTAAAAAAATGCTTTTTTCAGTTCGATATGTCTAATATGCGCGATACTCTCATTTGATAAATTTTTTTATCTCACATAAACGGACGTCATCTTTTGTCGTATGACAAACTCGGGCGCGCTAACACTAACCAAGTTAGCGGCTTTTACTTAAACAAGACCATTGTACATAACGCTTAAGCATTTATTTATGTTGTGCTTCTACAAATGCCCCGTAGTATTTTATTTAGTATTTTAGTCGCGAGACCTTACTCTGTTAACGCGTAACTACGAGCGTTACGTACTAATTATTTCATGCATGTCCGTTTAACGAGAGAAAAAAAAGAAAACGGACGGAAGAAACGAGATAGAGCGGTAAATATGGTGACAGATTCTTTCAGCGAAGGAATAACTTAATCGCACATATACGAATTAGCTAGAGAAAGAGAGAGAGAGAGAGAGAGAGAGAGAGAGAGAGAGAGAGAGAGAGAGAGAGTAGGAG